TTATCCTTGATATGCCTTGAGATGGCAACAATTCTGTTCTGATCTTTGGAGAACAGGCTGACTTCTGAGAATGTTGAGGTCAACTGGAGTGAAGGAAATAATTAGCAGATCTGCCTGCCTGAGTGTTAATTTGTTGAATATGCTGGCACAGGGTTTGAGAAGGAATTTATTATTACCACAAATGACTGCTTTGTACCCCAGGTCACTTCAGTGACAGCAGGGGATGAATGGTTATTAAGTAGAACCACAGAATTGTAGAACCATTTAGGTTAAGACATAGCTGATCTCATGTATTACATAGATGTTATTATTCTACTTTCCTCAAAATTAGAGTGATGGTTTCTATTCTTGACAGTAAAAAACGGTAATATTTTTAACAGCAGAATTCCCGGAATTACTAAAAATGGTTTCGGGGACAAGAAAATGATTCTATCTTTAAAGGCAAAGCCAAATCAGGATAATTATTACACTGCTGCCACCACCCCCAAATAACAAGTGTTTCTGACTTCACATTGCAGTGCAATCTTTGTAGTTACTAATTAGTTCTGCATAATTAGTGTTTTAGCAGTCTTCCGAACACAGCCATATTTGGCATCTAGATTAGTCCCTTCATGTTGCCTGGTAAAGGTGTGTTGCAAATTGATGATATTTTGGTTCACTCTCTTGGTGTTTCAGTTGTATGAAGCATTCACTCGTGGGACCTCTCATGTTTTAAATAGACATGTCAGAGGGCCTGCCATGTCAAGAAATGAAGCACACTGGGAATATCTTGAGGAATACCTTTAACCCAGAGTGCAGACAGTAGAGTTGCTAAAGAAAGTCTTTCCTAGTTTTGGAAAGGTAGAGATGTTTCAGGAGGGGTGCAGTGATGTCCTCCCTCCCTGGATGTGTTCAAGGCCAGGTTGGATGAGGCTTTGAGCAACCTGGTCTAGTGGAAGGTGTCCCTGCTGATGGCAGGGGGGTTGGAACTGGATGAGCTTTAAGGTCCCTTCCAACCCAAACCATTCTGTGAGTCTATGATTCTATGTGCCTTTAATCAAGCTTGAGTACTTGATCTCCCCTTCACCCACGCAGGTGCCACTTTACACAGGAGTGCTCTCCCCAAAAGTAGTGTCTTCTGAGCTGACCCTTCCCTTTTGTTAAATCCTAAGAAGCAAACAGGTAACTTAATTTGTGTGTGACACAGTGTTTGGGAAGCTAGAAGTTTTGTTTGCAATTTAATCCACAAGGAAATGTCTCTAAGTGAACACAACTTTTTCACTGTATGATAAAATAAAGCTGTTAATAAAACCCTTCCCTCCCCTTTCCTTCTTTTTCTTACGCACTTTGGTGGCTCACTTTCCCACCATGGTGATGTATCTGGCAGTATTTTTTTAGTATCTTTAGGCAACTCTTAAAGCTTACTTGGCCATACGTGAGAATGTATTTCAATAAGAATAAAAACAGGTTTTGGAGCAAAGCAAGAAAAAATTGTCAAGCTACAGAGAAAAAAATTGTGGTTATAATCCCTCTGTTCATGGCCTTGAAGGCAGAGTCTGGGAACTGTCGGTGCTTTATAGATAACCTTCATTTCTGTGTGCGAGTCCCCGGGATTATTGTTGTGTTGAGTGTGATTATTCCAGGTAAGTTACTTCTTTTCTAATTGCGAAATTGCTGTTTGAAGAAGATTGTAAGTTATTTTCTCGATGTGAATTAAACAATAGGTTTGTATGGGTGTGCGGAGTTGTTAGGAAAAGCACTTAATTGAACGCGGTCAAAGTCTA